CGGCTAGTAGGTACGTATAACGAGGTAGATGTAGTTGCTGCTGGTATCCAATAGTGGGTAATCTTCCAAAAGAATCTGCATCGGTAGCATGGGCAAGTTAAGGAAGTGGTATCCACGATCTCTCCTATAATACATGCGTTGAGCACGTCCCTGTGGCCTATTAATTTGTACTGCGAAAGCGTCTATAGCTCCAACAGCGTTCGGAAACTCTTCGAAAGTGTTTCGTTGGTTTTTCCAGGCGTGCTCGCTGTTCCAGGTAATGTACCGGTTTACGTAATGCTCATACAAAATGGGCACAACTGTATGGATGATATCGCAGACGTTGCTTGTTGAAACTCCAAAAATTTGAGCGAAGGATTCTTCTGTTTGGTAATGTCTCAACCACATAAATGTCAAAAGAACTCTATCGTGTACACATAATGCGTACGGTCGAGTGTGTCTTATTCGTCTCCGAGGACGCCACGGGTCTCTCACCCTAGATACTAAGTCAGCCCTTATTCTGTCAATTACACATACTAAACTCCCTGGTCTTTCACCTGTTTGTAGCCAGAAGTGTSCAGGAGTTATAACGATAGTGTTCCACAAACTTTGTTCAGGAATAATGTACTGCCATTGTAGTGTCTTTGTACAAGAACATGAATAGGCACAACTCCGTCTTGTGACAGTACATCAATAAGTTGGACAATGCATGCCACTAAAGCATTTAATGGAAAAGGCGGTGGTGGATTTGGATTTGTTTGTAAAAACTCTAGAAACTCAAATAAAAAAGCCAATATCGACAATATAAAAGCTGGGAATGGAGGAAGCATTGTTGAAGCGAACTCGTGTGGAATTCACACATTACTAATTTGAATATGCATGATATGTAAAGTAGATGTGAAAAACAGAGGTCTGTGAAAAACAGAGGATACAGAAAAACTCTATTATATTTTTATGCTGTAAATCTCTCTTCCTACAACCTAAAAAGACATCAAGTAACAATGGCTGGAAATGTTTTCACTGTACCTTGATTGGCCGGGTGATCTTGTGGAAGCATTTCTAGAATGCAAAATATTTATGACGTTAAAGGCTTTGTGAAGAGATACCTTGCAAATATTCCTCTCTACAACCAAACAGCCAGGATGCTAAAATATTTATTCATGAATGTTTTACTTTGATGGTCCAGATAAATTAAAAAAAAAGTATTTTGCAAACTCCCATGTAACACCTATTTTTTTAACCACCCACAGTATACTTAACGCCTATGGCTGCTTTACATACCTTGATGGTACTTGTGAACTTGTTGGTGTTGATGCATTTCTAAAATTAAGATTGAAGAAAAACAAAGTTTACAGTGTGTAAAACTTATTCATTTTGTAAATTTCTCTCCCTTCTAACAACCTTAACAAAATGCCCAGTACACTAAATAAAAAAATAAATAAARTTATTTACCGTGATGTTCCTGGTGACTTTGTTGGTGTTGATGCAACACGTCTGACAGCCCAAGTTGTAGTGGCACTTGGTCTTCCTCTATTGGAGTTGTCTCCCCGGACTCTGAACACTTTAGGTCTTTTGCTCAACCTATCAACCTTGGCCTGAAGCCTCTGCATGAGATCTGATGCCTCTCGTGATCGCCATGCTATGGTCACCATGGAAATAATTTGAACTAGAACTCTTTGGTGCATGCACTGCTTGTACAAATGACATTCATTTTATTCATAAATCACATTATTGCAGCAGTAAGAACTAGAACAATTTGAAAACTGTGTAGTAAGTTAAATATAACTTTAACAATGCAGTGCAAAAAATGCACACGGAAATGTACTCATTCAAGTATGTACTCAAATGCTCCCAAACCCACCATACTCTTCAAGAGACCTCAGTAGCATCTCTTTAAATTTACTAAAACTTTCAATACCAACAGGCAAGTATAAAACCATCGAGCATGTAGATGCATAGGGCACGCGACATGTATTAGCATGTGCAGATCCACTGTCACTTTCGTATGCTTCGTAAAAGTGGATTTCAATGTCTTTATGAAATCCACAAGGAGGAATTTTGTCTGCACCAGTGGCAAAGACAAGGATATCTTCCAGAGTAATCTTGGAAGTTGTGGAATCTTCTAATTCCTCCAAGAAGTTGAACCACCACAAAGAGGACTGCTCTTCCTTTGCTCTCATGTTGGAACCCATTGGGCTAAAATGGGTTTTAAATAGAGCTTCAAATTGTGCTGTAGTGAGTTTTGTTGATACTATCGAAGAGCCATCTCTGTGCAYATGACCCACAACCAATTATTTGATTGCAGCAGTTGATAGTCACCTTACTGCCTGGAGCTGGAATATCATGACATAATGGGCAGGTTAATGAAACTCTTACTGAATTAGCAATGGCATCGGAAGTATTTTTGTCATCAATATTTTGACCCAGTGCTGTTATCTTCAACTCAATATCACTTCTGAAGGCGACCACCATGCTTGCACCATGCAATTTTATTCTGAATCTCAATAATCTTATCGTCAATCTCGATCCCCCTGATTTTCTCGACGGTTGCTTTGGCGCGCTTTTACTAATTTATGTGATGTCACCTAAATAGTTATTTAGTTAACTAATACCCCATTCACACCAGCTAAACTTGGTTGATAAAACTTGATTTAACCTAAACTTGATTTACTAAAMTAGGGTTAGATTCTTTTTCGTTCACACCAACTAAACAAGGTTATTTTGCTGTGCCTCGCTGTTATGAAACAATAACATAACAACTCCCACCCCCCATAGGCAAAAATTGTCAGCCAAAATTTGTAAACATGGCGGACGAGCAACTTTTGTTTTTCTTTCTTGCTGCCCAAAACTCTGCTCGGGAAACAGCTATAAGCCGGAACAATCTATTGAAAAAACAAGGAAAAGCACGTTATCATCGTTATGTAAAACGAGATTCCTTCAACGTTATTTGTGAAGAGCTTGCTCCATCTATTGAAAAACATTACACAAACTATCGAAAAGCAATTCCGGTGCGAGTCAGAGTTGCAATTACATTATATCGCTTAGGAGACACCGCACACTTCCGTACGATATCCAACTTGTTTGGTGTTGGGAAGTCGACTGTGTGCTCCATCGTTAGAGAAGTTTGCCAAGCCATCGTCGATGTTCTTCTTCTGCGATACATACAACTTCCAAATAGCAGACAACAGATACAAGAAGAGATAGATGGTTTTAAGGAACGCGCTGGATTCCCACAAGTGGTTGGATCTGTTGATGGGTGCCACATTCCCATCCTCAAGCCAAATGATAGTCTTGAGGATTATGTCAACAGRAAAAAATTCCATTCAATTATTCTTCAAGCATTGGTAGACAGCAATTATTTGTTTCGAGATATTTGTGTTGGTTGGCCTGGTAAGGTACAAGGGTGTTCAAAGATTCCTCATTGTTTACTTCGTGCTGCAACAGGTCCTTTCACCCTCAAGGCCTTGCTAAAGTTATCTCAGGACAAGCCGTACCACCATTAATCATAGGAGACTCTGCATATGGTTTGGAAGATTGGTTGATGAGGCCCTTTAAGGATCATGGGCATCTCACCAGGGAGGAGACAAAATTTAACCATGTCCTCAGTGTAACAAGAATGGTAGTAGAAAAT